TGGTTGAAGGCTATTTGAGGGCTGGGGAGACCACTGGTACTCAGCCTCATGCACTAGGTAAGCACACTCCTGAAGCCAGAGAAGCCCCCAGGGACTTGTAGAAACAAGCCATGAGCATGTACACTAATAGTGAAATATGAGGGACCATGGACAGTGGCACCGACACCTTATACGACACATTCTTGACCTGATGCCCCAAAGCCTTCCATTCTCTCCTCCCAGTTTGCTCTACTTGGGTTAAAACATAAAGTTCTCCAGTTGGAAGAGATGTGGTCGTCACCTATGCTAAGCACACCCCTCTTCAGTTCAGAAACGCCCTCTACAACATTCCCAACAAGCGGTTAGTCAGCTTCTGCTTGAATACTGCTAATGTCAGGGCACTCACTGCTCTGAAAGGCAGCCCATGCTGTTGCTGGAATAACTGAGTTGCTAAAAATTACTGTTTTTTAAAAAGATTCCACATTTGTCACCTTGTAATTTCCAACTATTGGCCTTAGTTCTGCCTTTTGGAGACCCACAGAATGATTTCCCATCTTTGCCATTCACAACAGCCCTTTTAATAGTTTCTAAAACTAACTAACTCGTATGCTTTCATTAGGACTCTTCTCTTCTGGCCCAAATCACCCACTGCCTTTACCACTCTTACTGCAATACAGTCTCTTGGCACTGTCTGGGGACATTTTGACTGTTACAACGAGCAGCAAGGAGCGCAACTAGCAACTATGGGTTGTGGCCAAGATGTTGCTAAGAATCCTGTAAGACACAGGACAGCCCCCAGCCCCCACAACAAAGAATTACCTGGCCCCAAATGTCTAAAGTACCAAGGCCAAGAAACCCTACTTTAGAAATATCCAGACTACTCTCCACCGGACACTCTATGGCTTGTCATATAGAGCTCAGTGCTCAGAACTTGACCTGTGGTACTTGCAGGGATAGGACCAAAGGAAGCATGGGAGCACGGGGTCCTCTCACTACGGCAAAGGAACTGACTGCAGCAGCTGAAGCATCTACGATATCCATCCCCCACTTCTCTAGTCTGTGGTTAGGAAGAAGCTCCAAATCCCACTGAAACAAACTACTCTCAAGCCATGACTAAGAAACAAAAGCAATTAATTGGATTCATAGCTGGTCAACACAGCCTTACCCCAAAAAATATTAACAAATGGATCAACATCAGACATCTGTCCTGTCTGATGTTTTTAGGAGTGGCTTGACTGAAAATATAAAAACATCAGACAGGAAAGATGTCTGATGTTGATCCATTTGTTAATATTATTTTGGATAAGGCTATGTTGACCAGCTATGAATCCAATTAATTGTAACTTGTATTAATTTATCTAAGAAAACACCAGGTCTAGACGGTTTTACTACTAAGTTCTGTCAAACATTCATGAAACAGTTAATTCCTGTTTTATTCAAACTGTTCTAGAAAATGAGGGGGAAAGATGGAGGCACACAAGTTTATTTCATAAAGCTAGTATAAACCTTTCAATTATAGTACGTAAGAATCACAGGAAAATCTCATTAATGAACATACATACAAAATTTCTTTAAAAATTACCAAACTGAATCTAGCTTTGATTTTTATATGTTATAAAGTGACTAAGGTTTGTTTATTCCAGGAATGTAGGATGGTTTAACAGAAAATCTAGTAAAGTAACGCACTACAGTGATAGATTGAAGAGGTGGGAAGGAGTCAGGAATGGACCACAGGCACATAGAGAAAGGTTCTTTTCCTTGAGAAGCTTTTTCTGCTGTAACAAAAAATCCCACAAAGTTTCTGTGCTATAAAATAAGCATTTATTTTTCACCTGTCTTGGGGCAAGCTGGGGCCAGCTATTTTAGGCTGGGCTCATCTGGGCAGTTCAGCTTTAAACTGCAGGTCTGTGGGTCAGTTGGATGACTGTATCCACATGACTCTCATTATTCTTGGAGCAGCTGGCTAACTGTTGTAACTTCATCTCCTGACAGTGTAGAGGGTCACTCAACAGGACAAGCACACTTCAAGCACCTGCTTGCATGTCTGCCTGACATCCCCTTGGCCAAAGCAACGGACACGACTGAGTTCAAAGACAAGGAATGGGAAAGTATACTCTGCCTTTTATAGCATGGACACTAGGAGGAGTGAATTACTGAGGTCAAAGACTTACTGTATCACAGGGCATGAAGGAATTTTATTACTTATAAATATGATATATATGTACAGTTACATCTATCTAAAGTATATCATATATATATTTATGATTTGGTATGTACAAAGTATTCATAATAAAAATTAAATTCACACATTAAGTATACTTCAGGACACTTATTTACCTGTCTCATAATCTTATGCAAAAAGGAAATGATTTATTCCTCATGATCATCTTTTACATCTTTACTTTTTTCCATTCTTTCAATCCCTTCAAAAAGAATTTTAAATTTTACAAAGCATTGAGACAAATTTGAAATAAATCAGAAAACAAAGCAAAGGAAAAATAAGGTTACCAAAGCAAGATGGAGCTGGAATGACATTAACACTTGGCGGGATATTCTCCATTTCCTCCTCCCCATCCTCTTTCCACCCTTTGCTACCTGCTCTGTGCTCCTTTATGGGCTTCCTTGTCTTGGCTTCTCCTATAGCTACAAGTCTCACTGGCTACACTGAGTCCTCTTGCTGGTTGAGGCCTAGAGGCTGGTAACACTTTCTGAGAACCATCCTTGCTGGCTCCCTTATTCCTGCCACACGTTTGTAGCCAACTCATTCATGAAATTTTCCTTACTTAACCCTTTTGAGGGTGCTGTATGTCCTACCAGGGATCTGAATTACAGGAGCCCACAAATCACATGCTGTAAGTCTAAATGTCTACTAGAAGTAAACCATAAGTATGCCTCTAAGTCTCAGTGTGATTAGCAAGTGGAAAACACAATAAAAAAAAAATCTTCACGAGAAGCAGACCTACTCTTGACACCTACATGGGCAAGAAATTTCCTCTGTGGTTTCTCAATGAAAGGTCATTGTGGCACATGACCCCATTCTTTTCTGTCTTCCAAACCATCTCTAATTATTCAGGGCTCAGTCCTGTATCTTCTCTTCTTATCCATACTCTTTACTTGATCACATCTAGTTTCACAGCTTTAGATGTCATATACACGCTGATGACTCTCTGTGTATCTCTAGTCTCGACTTTTTCCTGAATTCCAGTTTTTCACTATCTAATTGCCTACACTGGATATGCTATAGGCATTGTAAATTCTTGGCATGTCCAAAACAAAACTCTCCATGTTTATTCCATTATCGTCTCTTCCTAGTCTTCTCCCATGTCAGTAGAGGGACCAGCATCATGCACTGGGTTGCTCAGAGTGTGAGTGGCGGGGAGGGAAGTGGCAGACATCTGTCATCCTTGATTCCTTTTTCTCAAATTCCACATCCAAGCCATCCATACATAATGCTGGCTCAGATCTTCAAAATATATTCTGAATCTGTTCCTCACCACCTCCATTGCAACCACTCTAGCCCAAACAGCCACTCTCTTTACCCTATAGTATTTGCTCCTAACTGGTCGGCCTTCTACTCTCACACTCTACAAGGATCCCATCCGAGGCAGCCAGTATGATTCTTTAAAAATACATCATATCATCTTCTACTCAGAATCCTCCCCTCACTTACCCCACACTAAAAATGCACTACAAAGCCCTCACCATGGCCTGTAAGGCCTTTCATGATCTGGCTCCTGCATACCTGTGCATCATTTTCTACTACTCTCTCTCTCCCTCTGCTTGTTATACTGATCTCCCTGATGTTCTGGAGCATGGCAAGCATATTACTTGAGGACTCAGGACCGTTACACTTGCTGTTTCCTCCGGGTGAAACATTCTCCAGATATCTACATGCTTCACGCACTCATTTGATTTATATTTCTGCTTAAATGGCAACTCCTCAGAAGTCTTCCCTGGTTTTATATCTTAATAGCCTCACCGTTCCTATTCTTTACTTTACTTTTCTTCATAGCACTAATCAGTACCCGGCATTAAATATGTAGTCATGTATTTGTCTTTACAGGTAGAATGTAAGCACTAAGAAAACGGTTTTACTTCATTCATTCACTCCAGCATCTCTAGTACCAGGTACATGACATATAGCAGGCTCTCCATAAACATTTGTTAAATGAATGAAAGACTCCATGGGGGAAGACTAGTTTGTCTGTCTTGACTCAAACTCAACAAGATCCAAGAAATATGAGCCTCAATGATATGACTGGCACTTTGCTAGATGCTTAGAGCTTTAAAAGCCTTTTTAAGGGACCCTGACTTGAATTGTGACCTTTTGGGTACATAGTGATTGGAAGAAAGCATCGGGGAGCCCTCAGGGTACCAGAACTTTATGTGGGTAGTATTTACATAGGTGTATACATAAATACCAATCTATTGAGCCATACATTTACGATCTGCGCATTTTAAGTTGCACCCCAATGAAAGTTCGGTTTCAAATTTTCTTTCATATCCACACATCAGCTCTATTTTCCATTGAGGCAAGAGCAATGATAGAGGTCTGCATGACTTGCCTGCCACATGAGCAGTGAGAAAGCCACCCTCCAAGTGCTATGATTGGCACACTCGTTAGAAGGAAAGGAACCTTTCTTCAATCGGCCAGTGAACCAGGGGGCTAGATGGTGCAGTGGGGCGATCAGGGACTTTCTTCAATGCCCTGGGAACACCTCTCAATCTGGCACCCAGTATGGGCGCTCAACAGGTAAACAGATGTTCCACCTGTTGGGGAGAAGATCCCTGACGTGAGATGGAGTGCCGCCAAGTTTCCCTCAGAGCCTGAAGCCAGAGAATGGAACAATGGGACAGCCTTTACGCTTTAGACTCCAGTTTAGCACAAGGAGCTGGTATCGCGCCTACGCGCCTCAGGACGGTTCTCCTAGGGGAACCGGCAGCCCGCCCGACGTCACAAACTCGGCGAACGCGGGTCTCCCGAGGCCCCAGCACGCACGCGCAGAAGCGCATCCACTACGCAGACGCACTGCCGCCTGGCGACGGACAACGCGGAGGGCGGGCGCGGAACGGGGTGCCCGCCATGGAACAGCGGTTAGCTGAGTTCCGGGCGTCCCGGAAAAGGGCCGGACTGTTGGTGGAACCCAGCACCTCGAGCCAGAACGCACAAACCTCGGGAGGGAAAGTGGAAGCAGCTACGACTCCAAAGGCAGCCCCGGGCTGGCTAAAACGTTTCCTGCTGTGGAAACCGAGGCCCACGAGTGCTCGGACTCTGCCCAGCCCCGCAAAGGTGAGAGGAGGGAAGCCGTGGCCCCAGGGCCGCCGTAGGGACCTCCCAGCGAACTCCGGCCGAGGCACCGCCCCCCGCCACGTGGTGACCTGCAGGCCCCGCCCCGCCGATAACGGCCCCGCCCACCGCCCGAGGGCCCGCGGGGCCGAAGCTGCCGGGGGCGGGGCCTCTGGCTCCTCCCATCTGCTGGGCAGGTTGGGGAGGGTGCTTCTTGAGTCTCCTGCCACGTGTCACCACTGAAGCGTATCTTTCACATTTTACTTCCGGCCCACGACCCAGGGAGCTCCTGATTTCAGGCTGGAAGAGGGGTTCTGGGCCCTGGAGAAAGCCCCTGTGCCCTTGAGTTATTCACAGCGAATTAAGTTATCGCTGTGATGTCCTGTGGCTGTGGGAAACCTCCACAACCGTGTTGAGCCACAGCCCTCTGCTAATGGAGCGTAAAAGGTCTAATTGGATACTGATTAAAAATGGCGGTAATTAAGGCTTCCTTTGATTTCCCACCTGGTGCATGTGCAGCCAGTAGCCCAAATAGCCTGTGCTTTAGAAACGACATTTGAATACAAAACCTGCAAGAGTGTGATAGCTGTCACTGCCAGTTGTGGCGTATGCTTGTGCATTAAACTGGAGAAGCTTATTCAAGTTCAATAAAGAATGTTCAAGGCGAGAGCAGTATTTTGGTTAGTTAAAAAAAAATGCCTCTTCACCTTTTTAATTCTTTAGTAATCTCTTATTTTGCAGATGAACTTAATTCGTATCTCATTGTATCTTCATTTAGTTCTCACTCCTGAGTAAAGTGGCAAGGTGACTTGCATGCGAGATTGGAATATTTATGTGGGAATAGAGGACCACACACCAAGCGAAAAGTGGTGCTTTGAAACAATCTGTGACAAGACCCATTTACCTCATAGATGTAAAAAGAGCCAAAAACTCCTTTGAAAATTAAGATGTACTGGAACTGAAATGTACTTGACTCCTCTTAAAATGATTTCTCTTAAGTTCATTTACTATTGCATAATAATAGTTTTGGGAATTTTTTTAGCTCTTGGAGAACTTAGTGGTAACTCAGTTTGGATTTGATATTTTCCATGACATGCAAGGTTCCAGCTGACTTGCAGAAAGAGAGTGCAGCAGGTTCACACAACCCATTTCCTTGTCTCAGGATAATTTCACTGTTGATTAGAACTCACTGAGCACAATTGCTTAAGATTTTAGAATCTACTTCTCTACCCTTTTTCCTCCCCAAAGTTAAGAAACAATGTCTAATGCACACAATGAGTTTTTGATTGTATGTTTCATTTCCAAAGGAATGTGAGATCATTAAGTTGGATGCAGAGAAGCTGAACTTGGAGAAAGCTTACATTATTAAAAACCCAAAAGCTGATGGCCTGACAAAAGGATGAGAGGAAGTGCTGGGCCTGCAGTTGGTTCTTATTAATTACTCTGTTTTTCGTAAGAAACTTGGTCTTAAGCTCATTTTCACTGACTGAGTTATCATTCCTGGGTTTGCTCTGTTGTGAAAGTTCTCATTAAATTTTTTTATTTTTTTCTAATTTACAATCCACCTCTACCTCATAATTTTGATGGCACACAGTAGCTGGCCAGAGATTCCTTTAGCCTTCCATTTGTAATTGCTTCTTTGTGGTTGTCATTGATAAGGGAGCATCCACTTCCTCCTTCCTGTCCTCTCAAATTTAGCTTGGGAAAAAGCAGTCCCCCAAAAGAAAATATTTCTTTCTCTGACAAGCTTCTATGACATTAGGACAAAAATGCTTGTAGCTTTTTTTAATCCTGCAGAAAGCCCCTGGCTGCCTTTGCAGGCCTACCCTACCCCAGCCCCACTGCACCATCTAGCCCCCTGGTTCACTGGCCACACTCCTCCTGCAACTCCTCACCTTCAACCTGTGGCTCAAGTTGGCCCACTGCTCAGAGGCTTTGGAGTCACCAGGTTAAGCATAACCCCCTCAAACCCAGGAGTCATCTTTTAATTTCTTCCTTTCCCTCATTTGTTCATTCAGCAAAATCCTATCTTGTGCCCACTAGGTTTCAGCTCCTGACTGAAATCCAGGGAGACAGTGTGGTATAGACAGACAAAGGCCTGATATCCCAGTAGCTGCATTTGTCTTTGGGGAGGTAGCGGATGGCAGACACTGAAAACAAAAGCAGAATGATAAATTCTCTTGAAGGGGAAACACACCCCGGGCACTGTGGTAGTGAGTTGCGGGTGAGGGCTGCAGAGCGCTCCTTGAAGTTGGGTGGGCAGGGAGGACCTCACTGAGGAGGTGACATTTTGTAAGAAAGAGCCACTCTTGCAGAAACCCGAGAGTCAAGGCCCAGGGCACATGTGGTGATTTTTTTGTTGAGGTTTGTAGGGGAAGCAGAAGCCAGCCGGGTGATGTGAGGAGAAGGGGGCATTATTTTCAGAGGGAAGTGCTGCAAAGGCCCTGAGGTGGGAAGCAGCTTGGTACTTGAGAAATGGACGTGTCTTCCCTAAACTATGCCTGCGTGTGCTGGGACGACCACAAACAGCAGCTTTTACAGCAGAAGGCACACTGATACTAAAATGCAAGTGAAGCCAAGGAGCTTCCGTATCCCACCTCTCTCTTGTTTGTTCCCTTTGCCAGTTGGCTTAAATTCCTGCCCTCTCTAACCCTTTCCCTTGCCATTACCCACACAGGCCCCTAATTAAGGAAAGAGGGCTTTGGAGGGTGACCATCCTATGATCCTAGACCAGTCTCATCTCTGCCTATCAGTAGCTGTGTGACTTCTGGGGAGTTACTGAACATCTCAGTGTTTCTGTACAGTAAATCAGGAATGATGATGCCTGCCTCCTGGATTACAGGAAATAGGGCATCCTGAAGGACCTGGTAAATGGTGGCCATAGCATTATTCTTATGCTCCCTCAATAATAAAATTCAGTTTACTGTGGATTCCAAGTAGTACATATTCAAAATGTATTCTGTGTCCATCAGTCCGTTGTTTCTCTCCAGCTTCTGCTTCACCACCCTAACCCATGCCTGGTCCTCTCTTGCAGGGCCTCCTGCATAAGCTACTATCAATTTCGCTGCTTCTACTCTTTCAGCCCCTTCTCTATCTGGCAGCCACAATAGTCTTAAATATTATTAGTTCCCTGATGAGGACTACAGTGATTTCCCTGTTGTGCATCCTGGTCAGATCTGAAAGGGACCTTTATTTATTTAATAAATGTGTGTGTCGGGGGTTTGTTGACTATATGTTAAGCGCCTTTCCCATCTAACTGAAAAGATACTAATTACACTGTTGACACTAAGAAAGGAGGTTCTGACAAAATAGGATTTCTTAAGCAACATAAATCAGATGACCTATGTTTTCTTATCGAGACCAAATAATAATTGTGGTCCTGTTTAAAATTATATGAAGAATAAGAGATATAATTGAAGAAATGAACTAAAAGTTCTATTTATTGAGAACTTATGTGTGGGGTGCTGTGTTTGGCTCTATAGAGACACCAAAAGATAATAAATAGCAGTCTGTGGCCTTGTGGTGCAATCTAGGGATCCATGGGACATATATTAAAAGAGACACTTCAATGCTGAATAGTTTGGTGCTCAGTGAGAAAGAGCCAGTTAATGCTACGAAGGCAGAGAGGGCATAGGGCGTTACCAGTTGTGCTTGCCTGGAGGGCAGGCAGGGAGCTGAGGAATGAAGAGGAAATAGAGGCTGTTTTGGCCCACAGCCAGGCAGCTTCTTTGGGCCTTGATACCAGTTGAACTGGAGTAGAGGTTCGTTCACAGAGGGCTGATGGAGGATTATGTCGTACAAGAAATTTTTTAGACCAGTGTTTTTCAAGCTGCAAGTTGTGACCCATCAGTGGATTGTGAAATCAATTTAGAGGATCTAGTCCTCTGTTAAAAATAAAATTTAAAAAATAGATTAGTAAACAAGAGCTTCATATATAGTGAAGGTGTTGATTTGTGAAACTTTTTTTATGTAACATGTATATGCTGGGTTGCAATACAAAAAGTATTTCTTAGGTCTTTCCCAAAAATGTTTGGAAATACTGGACTAGAGATCAAGCTCCCTAAAGCTGCCTAAATACCTGTGTTTCCCATGAGCACCCAGTGCAGGGGCCTGTATACTGGCATTCCTATCTGTTGAAAAAAAGGGAGGCCTTGAATTCCAGCCCAAGGAGTTTAAATTTTCATCTGTAGGCATTAAAAATTTGTTGAAGGTTTGTGAGGAGGTGGTTGATGGGTGTTGTAGGAGATTCATTCAGCAGCTGTGCATACGGTTTGGGGAGGGAGAAATAGTTGGGGAGTCCAGCTAGTAGACACTGCCTGAGCCTGGAGGTATGTAGGATGGTCACAGGGGAAGGAAGGGTTGTGGCTATAACAGAGATTTTTTTTTAATAAGTGGGAGGGATTTTTGTTTCCAGTTTGTGGTATAGTCCTCATTTTAGAATCATGCCACAAAATTTTAGCTCACTAATGTAATCAACAAACACATTAATTCTGTGTGCAAAGCATAGGCAGGGCTGTGGCATTTCCATTTGCTGGGGAATCTCTGTATGGGGCGCAGATTAGCTCTTGTTAGCAGCAGACTCATCTGAGAGGAACCGTCTCCATGATGGGAATCCATCTGAATGCTGTAAGGTTTTTACCGCGTCATGTCTCACGACGTGCTGCAGTTTCGATTCAGTTGGAGCAGGGCACACGAACTCTTTGGAGATGATTATTTTGGAGAGCAGGGCAAGAAAATAGAAATCAATGAGCTGGAAGCCTTGCCGGAGCAATGAGAGCTGCCTCTCCAGATTGGTTTTGACCCTGTCAGCCCCATCACCCTTTCTTCTTACCTTGGTTTGTTTGTTTGTGCTAGGAAGTGGTTCAGCCCAGGAGCAGCACAGCAGGGCCGCCACCACGGGATCCAGCCATTCCCCTGCCATCACCTCGGGACCAGTCTGTCCTGACCAAAATCACCTTCTTGAAGGTTCTTCTCTGGCTGGTCCTGCTGGGACTATTTGTGGAACTGGAATTTGGCCTAGCTTATTTTGTCCTGTCCTTGTTCTACTGGATGTATGTCGGGACACGCAGCCCTGAGGAGAAGAAGGAAGGAGAGAAGAGCGCCTACTCCGTGTTCAACCCAGGCTGCGAAGCCATCCAGGGCACCCTGACTGCCGAGCAGCTTGAGCGCGAGTTACAGTTCAGACCCCTGGAGGGGAGATAGGGCCCAGCTCCACTCTCATGCGCTAGCCTCCCACATGGTCCTCTCAACTCCTGGGCTTGGATTTACGGGTGTGATTTCAGGCACAGGACTCAGGACCACAGTTCCATGCTCACTCCCTGATCTGCTGTGATTTTACCTTTGAACTTCTCTGTGGTTTTGGTAAAACTCCCTTAAAGGACAATCAATGTGGGTCTGATGAAGTTTATAAAAATTACATACTCAAGAAAGGAGACCTGTTTGTCTCATTATTTCATAGAGGTGATTTTAGAGCACTCGAAGGGCAGTGGTTAGATGCATTAGGACTCTTTATTAAAAGTAAATGTTCACTTTAAGTCTTTAATATTTATAGCATTTTCTTTGTTGCAAGTTTTGTTTTGGGTTTTTTGTTTTTCTTCCTGCTTTGAGTCTTGCTTTTCTGGTCATTAATGGTATTGAAAAATAAAATACCATTAAAACATCTACTTTTCAGAAACAGATCTCCAATGGCCATCACCATCTTCCACTCTCCTCTGTTATTCTGTCCCTTCCTCTGTTGCTCAGTGAAGGAAGAAAAGAATACAAAGTCCTAAGTAACAGGTATGGGGAGGGATTTCCCAAAGTCAATATTGGTAGACTTGATGAGTGGTTAGTAATAAAAGCTCAGCAAGAAGCAGTCCTTGAGTGGACAAAGGGGCCCTGGATGGAGGACCACACTTAATGGCCACTTGGGTTTCTTCTTCTGTACTAAGGGCCTTAGAGGAAGCCGTCCCTGGGCCTGCGGGCCTGTGGTGAGAGATTATGTAAATAATAGTAACTGGACAAGCTTTCATTGTTCCACCCTCTTCCAGAACAAACTTAAGAGTTTGAATTCACCAAAATTGGACAAAGGAAACCATTATACACTTTCTTTATGGAGCATACTGATGAGTCAGAGCACTCTAGTTTTAAAGCAATAGTTTTTTCCAAACTTAAGATTTTAAGACATGAGTGATCCTTAAGTGGGTTTTCAACTGCAGAATTCAGTTACAAATGTTTATATTATGAAAGTAATTTTAATATCTATGAAAATATTAAATAATTAGGTGCTCGAGATACGGTAATGACAAGAGCAGATGTTGGCCCAGTTCTCCAAGCATAAGGCCTAGGCTGGGAGTGGGGTGATGGATAAAATAAGCAATATGAATGATAGAGTGAGACAAGTTTTAGTTATAGGAGGAGTACAGAGGGGCTGTTCCCATTAACAACACTTGGTGGCCGGCTAACCCTGTGTGTTTCAGCCCTTGGAAATTCTTCTGGTATGCATTGCTCCCTATCTAGCCCTTTGCTACTGGGAGTTTGGCTGTCCCCAGGTCATCCAGTTACAAAGTTCCCTTTAGCTCACAAAGAAGTATTTTCTTCTGTAACTTCTGTCTGAACTGGACCTATAGAAAGTATGGCAAACAGATGAGTCCTTGTTAAATATAAAAGTTTTGATTGTATCCAAGATACATGGTTTTTGTTTCCTGATTTATTTTCTTAAGGCTTTCTTCATTTCCCTGATATTTTACTTGGGCTTTTCCTTTTCATACAAAGCCGAATATAAAGAAGAAATATCCCTGATCAAAGATTCACTGCTGCCAAGGACAATAAGCATTGTTCTAGAAAAGAATTAATTTGCTTTTTAAAATGTATCATTCAAACTTTCACCCACAACAAAGTGCCTGAAATCTCCATTAAGAACATTTGATCCAATTAGTAATCCCAGCAAACCAGAGACTTCTCTTAAACACATACGCAACTTTTGAGTGGACCTCACTAGTGTTTGTTGAAAATGTCACTCTTCATAATGAGGTGGAACCCGGATTGCCTTAAGCGCATCTTTCATGGAATTTTCTGTGAACGATTTGTCATCCATCCCTCCTTGCTCACCTGTTCCCAAAGGTTGCATGTAATGACAGTATTAACTTCTAGGCAGAGTAGGGTGTGAACTAATTAAATGCCTGCCTGGGAAGAGAGGAAAGGACAGATTGTATTTGCTGTTCTTATCAGACCATTAAGCTTTAGGTACAGTCCTGATTTTATGGATTTAGAAAGGCCTATTGATCTCAGAATTTCCACTCAGGGCCTGACCATTAGCCCAGCAAGCAGCTTCCATTAGAGGCTGCTTCTGTCATCAGGGAACTTGAAATCCCAGAGATGTGTTCAGTCCCTGTGATAGCTTGTGCGCGGGTGAGGTCGTTTCTGTCTGAGTCTTACAAATGAATTTAATTGGTTTTTGCTTTTATTCACATCATCCCACCTTGCTTATTCCTAGAGGCTGTTAAATGAACTTCTACTTGTAGAGCTGGAAGGAAGCCCAGATGCCATCAAATGCATCCCCCCTGCCGTTGGCAGGGCCACATTTACTCCTGACTGTTTTTTTCCTAGTGACCTGTAAAGAGGACTAATCCAGATTCAGGCACTTCCTAGGAAGTTCTTCAATGAAAGAACCTGAGCCACCCTCCCACTGCTTCCTCAGGTCAGGGGACACAGAACATCCCTGGGACAGGCAGACCACCGTTCAGTTCTCTCTCAGTCCCTCTGTGTTCTTCACGCTCAGTCATCCACATTGTACCTCTGGGACAGTCACTGTCAACCTAGTCTGTTCTGAGGATTCCTGGTCTGGGCAGGGGCGACTGTCTGGAGTTTTACCAGTGATGATTTAGGCGTGTATATTTTGTGCTATTAGACTTGTGCTTTGAGTCCAAGAGGACTGCATTTGCCCTTTGACTGATATGTGCCTAAAGATTAGGCTCACAAGCTGTGTGCTAAATAAATATATATATTAGGAAGTTACATAATTGGCAGAACTGGTGATCCTTAGTTAGGCAGAGGAAAGTACAATTCTATGCATTTTTGTTTCCTGCCACTCACGCTCTTACCTGTTTCCCTGCAAATACTTGTAGGTGCAGGCTTGGCCCTGCTTGGGACAGAACTGAGAGGCTGCAGCCCCAGTTCCCTGAGCCCAGGATGCAAGGTGGGCAGGGGCGCCATGAAGCATCTTGCCACCAGGGGGTAGCATGGAGCTGCCACTCTACATAGTGGGCCCTTTCCCATCACACTTGGAAATTTACGTAATATGGAAAACCCACTGGGATGTTTATCTGAGCCACTTGTGCTGCTTTTTCAGGCGCTCTTTTCATTTTAAGATTCACAGGTTAGAGGTTCTGGGAAAGGCATAGAAAGCTGCCACAAGTGATTTATGCACATATTTTATAAAACGACAGCCCCTCCCTGACCTTAGCAGCCAGTATTGCAGTTGAGGAGGGTAGCCCTGAGCTTGTCCGCATCTGAGGGGGAAAAAAAAAAAGAGTAGGAACTTACGCAGCTGGCAGAGAAATTTGATCCCTCAGCCAAAGAAAGTAAAATGGGAACTGTATGCTTTGGTTTTTGTCACACATACTTTTATTTCCCAGCATTGGAGCACTGGATACAGATTTGGATCTCACACTCAAGTAGCCGAGAAAGAAGACCAGGTGAGAGCACCAAGCAGCACATTATAAGGCATATAACGTAAACAGATGTTTATAAAGATATAAGTGTGTGTATGTGTGTGTGTTGGGCAAAGAGTCATCAGATCAATCACTGTCAAATCTAAGTCCTATACTAGATAAGATTGTCACTTTTATATAAAAAATACTGTTTTCTTAAGTCATGGGTGGAAGTTTTGAAAAGTGTGGTCTGTAGACCACCTGCACTGGACTTTCCTATGGTAAGTTAAAATGCAGATTTCAGGGCCCCACCCAGACCCACGGCCTCAGAATGTCTGGGGGTTGGATCAGCATTTAACCACCTCCCTGGGTAATCTCCAACTCCTGCGGAGCAACAGCCACCGGTATAAATCACAAATGTTAGAATAGGAAGAAAATAGTGTATATTAGATCCTAGTAAAAGAAGTGTATTTTAAAAGGGAGCATTAAAGTTTGCTGTTTTTCAAACTGTTTGTTCAGAACACCAAAGCTAGAGAAAAAGAATACATGTATGGCTTTAAAATAATGAGGAACTAACCCCCAAAATGTAATTAAAGGTGCTTTCTTTCTGAAGTTTTCTTTAAAACCAATTATTACAAAAAGAAGCACATGCTCCTTTTAGAACATTTTGCAACTGGAGAAACTATTAATGTATTTTATTTTTGTACTAATATGCATATATTTCATAATCCAAGAGGTACATAGTGAACAGTCTCCCTTCCACCATCCATCAATTTAACAATGTTTCAGGTAACATTTTACTGAATAAGTTTTTTTACCGAATCCATTCTTTCATCAATGAAAGAATTATAATCCATAAATGTGACCAAATGAGGCATAATAATCTACTAACCAGCACTTACTTTTGCAACTTACATGAGTCTATCCTATTTCTCCCTATTTGTCTATCTGTTCATATTCATCCATTCATCTGTGTGTCTTTGTGTTTGGGTCATTATTTCTTATGAAGGGAATGGAAAGCCCAACACAGTATCTACTGTGACCTTGGATGCACCACCTACTCTTTGCAAGGCATGGTGCTGGGCTCTAAATGTAGGTAATGCACGTGAGGTTCTTTTTTCAAGAAGCACACAGTCAAATGGGGGAGGGAGCTAAAAATCAGTTATGGCACAGTGTGGTAAGCACTATGTGAATGCAATGTTGAAATGAAGGCCAGAGCAGAGAGAAGGGATACCAAACACAGGGTCAGGGAGGGCTTCAAGGAGGTGGTGACATTGTCTGAGTCTGAAAGAGCATCTAGTACTCCCCAGGGAAGAAGGCAGGGAACTGCCAAGTAGGTAAGGAGGTAGCATTTCAGTCACAGGAAACCACCTGGGATTAAAATGATAATCATGAGGGAGACTAGCATTCTTGGGAAAAAGTGATTCATTCTAATACCTTCTATTATTTTTTCCAACCAGTTGTTACACGTAACCATGAAAGACTGACTTTGGTATATTAATTTTGCACCACCTTTACTGAATTCTCCTACTAATCATAATGGTTTCTCATTTGATTCTCCTGGATTTTCCACATAGATAAGTATTTTCTTTTCAGATAATTTAAAGTTTAACCCCTCTTTTTCCAATTTTTATACTTCTTGTTTTTTTCTTGGTCTGACTGCATGGCTAGAACATCTAGAAAAATTAGACTCAGTCAGTAATGCCTTTATCTTATTCTTGGCTTGAATGAGCATGCTTTAGTATTTCCCCATTAAGCATGATGCTGGCTTTGGGGTAAGTGGATGGAGAGGAAGACAAAGTATCTCAAGGAATTATTCATCTATAATTACATTATTAAAAGGTTTTTCTTTTTCTCTGTCTTAAGAATAGATGTTGAATTTCACAAAATCTTTTAATATAGTAGAGATTAT